TAAGAAAAACTATAGGCCAATCACGGTCCTCCTACCAGTCTCAAAAGTATACGAAAGACTAATGGAATCTCAGATGAAACCATTTTCACTAGGCTTCCTTAACCCTTTGCTTTGTGGATTTCGAGAAAACTATAGTACACAGCATGCCCTACTGCGTTTCACTGAAAAATGTAAGATTAGTCTGGACGCCGGAGAGTGTGTCGGGGCTGTCTTTATGAACCTATTATGATTGCTCAAACCACGAACTTCTGATAGCAAGGCTTAATGCATATGAATTCAGCAAAAAAGTCTTATTGTTCATTTATAGCGATCTAGACAAGAGGAAACAAAGAGTGAAAGTAAATGGGTCCTTCAGTGAATGAAAATAAATCGACAAGGGTGTTCCACAAGGGTCAGCTCTAGCAATTTGAGCCAAAAGAGAAATTGCTTCACGAGACATATTTATTTTGCCAGGCTAGCCAAGAGCCAAATTAGACTTTAGGTCGGTTTCACGTTTGTTTACAAAATTTAGCTTCACGCTACGAATTCGGGAATAGGAAAGACTTTGGGTCATCCAGTCGTTTAAGAAAGAAAGCTTTAAAAGATCCATTATATACTTTGCAAAAAATGTTATTAGATAAAACTAGTGCCCACCAAGCCAAAGAGATGAAACTAGTGCCCACCAAGCAAGTAGTATGGAGAGTAACATTGAAATTAAACAAGAAGTAAATCGTGTAATACACAGCAAGCCCGAGAAAGACCATGTACTAGCAAGAAAATTTCATCAGTGGGCAGGATTTTATCCTCGTATAAACCAGCCTTGTCCAGCTACTGGTAAGACATGCCATAAATGTGGAAAAAGAATAATTTTGCAAAGTGTTGTTTGAGCAAAGAACAACAAGAACTAAAGAAAACACACCATACAAAGGATACGTTAGGCCAATTACAACTAAGCAAGTTGATGAGAAACAGTCCAAGTACCACTGTTACTGCCAAAGTCAGCGAGTACAAATGTAATTTGCTTGTAGACACTGCAGCCTCAGTAAATAATCTTGATGAAGAAACCTTTCGTCAGATACCTTCAGATCTTCAACTGTAGAAGACCTCAATAAAAGTATATCCATACAACAGTAACAGTCCAGTGAAAATGCTTGGGAAATTCCAAGCCACATTAGAGACAAAATATCGTATTACTGTGGCTACCTTTTATGTCACAAAGGGGAACTCAGGTTCCTTACTATTGTCAGAGACATCCCAAGAACTTGGTCTTGTTACATTTCATATTAACCCAATGGAATCAAAGGTGAAAAGCAGCAATGTTTAGCCACAAACTACTTGTAATGGTTCATGGATTCCTATCAAATCTACCAATGACAAGTCAATTGATGCAGCCACACTTGCAAATAGAGAAATCTTCATAGGAGTAGGAAAATTGGATGGAGTTCAAATCAAACTGTGCATTGATGAAAGTGTAACTCCTGTTGTTCAAAGTACCAGACGTATACCATTTCACATCAGAAAACAAGTGGAACAAGAACTGTTGAGCTTGGAAGCACAAGAAATAATAAACAGAGTTCCAGAAGGACAGGCAACTCTTTGGATATCTCAGATAATAACTGTACCAAAGAAAGATAACACAAAAATAAGAATTTGTGTTGACACGCGTTCAGCAAACACAGTCATAAAAAGAGTTTGACATGTCATGCCCACAGTTGATGAAATCATGGTGCAATTAAATGGAGCTAAATTCTTCTCAAAGATAGACCTCAGTCAGGCATATCATCAGTTAGAATTGCACAAAGATAGCAGGTACATCACAACATTCAGTACACATGTTGGTTTATTCCAGCACAAGAGATCAAACTATGGTACTAATGCAGCTGCTTATTTCAGCACACACTAGAAGAAGCACTAAAGAGCATAGATAATGTCAGAAATTTAGCAGATGATATTATGATTTTTGGCAAAACAAGAGCAGAGCATGATAACGCATTGAATGAATGTCTTGCAAGACTAAAGGCAAGAAAGCTCACAGTCAACAGAGAAAAATGTGTATTTTTACAACCAGAACTATCATTTTTTGGCATGGTTTTCCCAGAAAAGGCTGTGAAACCTGATTCAGCAAAGATTGCAGATTTAGTAAATGCTCCAGTACCAAACAGTGCCTCAAAATTTTGCAGACATAACAGATCCCTTGAGAAGATTAACTCACAAGAACAGTGTATTTAAATGGGAAGAAGAACACTCAAAAGCATTCAAGCAGCTCAAAGATGTTCTGATAGACAGTCCAGTGATGACATATTTTGATGTTGATAAAGATACATATCTGATTGAAGATGCCAGTCCCATAGGTATTTCTGCAATTCTTGCACAATCAAACAGAAATGAGCCTCATTGATTGCATATGCCAGTAGAGCACACAAACCAGTGGCGCGCAGATACTCACAAACAGAAAAAGAGACACTTTGTATTGTGTGGGGTACTGAACATTTTCACATGTATCTTGTTGGAAAAAGTTTAAATCTGGTCACAGATCACAAACGTGAGATACAAAAAGATTGGCTTGGGATTTCTGGAATATTACGAGGAATTCACTCAAAATAGGCGGCATTTTCTAGTAACATTGTAACTTAGTAACAAAGAGACAATCATGATACCGCCTTAGGTATTAATTATATCCTTTGCCCGTTCCGATATAGAGATTTGACAAAACTTCAAGGAAAGTCCGTTTTTATCTTATAAAAATGAACGTTGCAAATTATATACAGAGTTCGTCGTCGTCGTTCATTCAGCCGTTGCGGTTGCTTGTGACTGCCATGACCATTTCTCTCCAATCCACTCTGTTCTGGGCCATGGTTAGCGCTTCGTAGAGTTGCATGCCAGTGAGCGATTTGATGTTATCAGTCCACCGCGTCGGGGGTCTGCCCCTCCCTCCACTGCCCTCAACCATACCCAATATAGCAATCTTTTCTATGCTGTCATCTGGTTTTCGTGCGGCGTGTCCGAAGTATGTGAGTTGTGCTCTATGAATGAGATTGAGTAGACTGTTTGGACGGTATACTCTGTCAAGCACGCTTGCATTGGTTTGCCTTTCGGACCAGTGGATGCTCAGCATACGACGCCACGACCACATTTCAAACGCGTCAATTCTTTTTCGGGAGCGTGTCTTTAAAGTCCATGCCTCCGCACCATAGAGGACGATGGAAAATACCAAAGACCGCATCAGTCGGGTTTTCGTGTCTAACCGGATGTCATGGTTCTTCCATATCTTCTGTAGCTTTCCAACAGCAGACCTTCCCATCGCTAACCGTCGATCGATCTCCTTTTCACAGTCTCCATCAGGTCTAATCATCGAACCGAGAAAGTTAAAGTTGTTCACTTCCTCCACTTCTTTGCCGTCGACAAATATATACAGAGTTAGATTGACAAAATGTTTGTGACAGCAGCAATATTAGGGCTTTATAAACTTTGTAAATTTTTTATTGTGGCTGATTGTATCTCAAGTATATTTTTTAGAAATTTTTCTGCGAATTCGCTGCAAATATTAGAAAAAAATATAGCGACTGTCCGAGGAATGCTCTTATCAGCAAGCTTGGACTTTTAAATTTATCAAAAAAGCGAGCAAAACAGCAAAAAGCGATACTTGATTAGAAAAATTCCTTCAGAACGTCTTCAAAAGGGGGATTTCCATCTTTCGGTAAGAGACATTTACGTTTACGTTTACGTTTACGTTTACGTTTACGTTTACGTTTACGTTTACGTTTACGTTTACGTTTACGTTTACGTTTACGTTTACGTTTACGTTTACGTTTACGTTTACGTTTACGTTTACGTTTAGGAACAGGAACAGGAACAGGAACAGGAAATGAATGATTACCAACCTATTTTATTGACGTTTCAAAGGCGAGAGTATTTTAAAAAAGAATGCGGAAAGACAGGCAGTCTGAAAAAAATGAGAAGTCAGGTGTCTTCCAATGCTGTTCTGATTGGTTTATTTTACAAGGCGAACAATTTTGCAGCGAAAAATTAGGAACGGTTTCTACTTTTTTGCAGTGAATTTTTCGCTGTGATCTTTCGCGCTTTTGCGGCGAAAAGTTCGTCTGGAACGAAAAAATTCGTCTCCTGTAAATCAGGCTTTAAACTCCAGTAGTGCTTTTCCTTCACAGCTAGGGGTGTTTTTGAGAAAGTTGAAAATGAACCAGGCGAAATTGACAAGCTCTGTTTGGCTAAAAGAAAATTGTAAACAAAGCATCTAATTGGACGAAAACTAAAGTCCGCCTTGCTCGTATGAAATCGTTTTTAACAGTATCAAGCTTGCACACTTCAGATGTTTCGATCAGAAAATTACGAATCTTCATATCAAAGCCATGTTAATCAAAGTGAATTTATCGGAAGAGTTTTAATCATCTTCAAATCTCGGTGTTGTAGAGCACCGCTTGATAAGGCAATTATGTTTTCTGGTTGTTTCGTCGTTAATAATTTGCTAGCACATATATCATAAGTCTACCTTTTTCAAAAGAATAATATATGGTCATGATATTTCGTATGAATGCAGGGAACTTAAGGGCTTATATTTTTTTGCAATTATGTTCTTGGCAACATCCGACGCACAACGGTTTTCAATATGATGTTAATAAGGATGACAAAAATCAAAATTGGCAATAAGAATTTATTCCAGATTGACACTATTTTACAGGTCTTAGTAGTTGCCATTGATCATCTCTATTCTAGATCTAAATATTAGCATATAATTAGGTATCCTCAACCTTAACATTACGTGCCAGTAATGATTTTATTGCTAAGTTCATCGGACAATGAAAAGTCCCTAGTGGTGATCCTTTCTATGCCTTCCTCAGGTATAGAGTCATCAACATAGTTTTCTGAATTATTTAACTCGAGCAAAGAAATAAAGGAATTGTGAATAGTTGGGCGGTTTGAACTGGCTATTTCTGTTGTCTGTTCATTTGCCAATCGATATGGTTTGGAGTATTTCTGCATGAAGCTGACAATCTTCGTGCCTTTCTGGGTATTGCAGCCATTTGTCAATAAATTGGAAAAAAAAGTCCTTTCATTTTTCGGATGGAAATATTGCACTGCAAACATCAAGAAACCTCCTACAGCAGCCAAGCCACCAGAAATAAAGAATACAAGGGAGTAAGTTCCTGAAACCGTGTACAAATATCCTGAAATGAATTTATATAAAAACGAATTTATATAATTACACACACGGAGACATGCAGAGAAAGAGTCGGATTAAGTGTGAGGATTGGAATTGTGACATTAAATTTTCTGTTTTACACAGCCTAAAAACAAATAAAATCTTAATTTCTGAAACAGTTTTCTCCTAAAAGCAGTATTTTTCTTTCGTCCTATCACTCAATAAATATCATTCACTTATTTCTACTGTGTTTTTAAAGCTAATCCAAAAAATTACTCTATACTTGGGTACATAGATAATAATTTAACATATACTTTTAAACGAATTATGCCTGATTCTTTAAGGCAAATAACAGGTTGAACATGCCTGCAAACGGTGGTCCAGCAAGGATAGCGATGCAGTTGCAGATAAGATATGCACTGTATCCTCTATTGAATTGCTCTTTTGTTATCAAATCTCTAATGATGAGCATGGTAGATGTGGCAATACTGCCATCAGCAATACCAAAAAGAAAGGAATAAGCAGCAAGGCCAATAAAGGAGGTAAATATTGGAACAAATGTTGTCACTATGCCTATAACGATGGTGGCCCATTTGCAGAGAGAGATCTTGCTGTAATTCGGGAGAGAGGCAAGCTTGCCGAAGCCTACATTACCAACTGCTTGAGCAATAGAGGTAATGCCTGGTAGAAATACCGCCATTGAGTATGATATTCCTGTGTCCATCGCTAGGCGTACCTAAGATTAAATAATCCTTGTTCAAAAGAAATATCATTGAAATTAAATAAGCAAGAAACGGCTTAGCATTGATAAATGGAAATTGAAACAGCAATGGGATGGAACATATAATAACATGAGATTGTAAAGAAATTGAGAAATACACAAGAAATTGCATCACATTATCTATTCCGATACTGTAAAACTTCTCATTGCGCGTGACGAAGCAGCGAATAAATACTCTTTGCTACAACAAATTCATAGTTAGCCTCTCGTTCATGCACCACGGCACCTATTGTGCCACAACGGTTAAATCGCGTCATATCATAACACACACAGCTATTGCTGCTTGTTAGTGTTCGCTATAGTTAACTCTTAAGGCCAATTTTCAGTTGAAATTTTTTTGTGCGCGCGGGCGTAGCGCCGAAAATCTGAGCATGCTACCGTCATATATGAGGGTCAACTAATTGTAAAGCAAAAGGGAATTGCGGAAGCATTTAATAACGTTTTAACAACGATACGTCATGAACTTGCGGAAAAGATCGTAACTAAATAATCAGATAACCCACTAAAGTACTTCGCTGATGAAGATGCATCGACAACCCCAAATTTTGAATTTCAAGCAATTTCATACAGAAATCGAAATCAAAAGATTGAAATGCAGTAAATCTGCGGATTTTAATAAGATTACAGTACAGTTTGTGGAAGAGAAATTTTATGCACGCCACTAGCTGCTATATTCAACTCTTTATTCAAAAACGGTATTTTTCCAGACACATGGAAAATAGGAAGGGTAACCTCTATTTTCAAGTCTGGTTCTAAAAGTGAAATGAGTAATTATAGGCCTATATCCGTGCTATCTGTATTCTCGAGGTTACTGGAAAAATTTGGACACGGCCAAGTCTCGACTTACATGAAAAAGCAAAAGAAATTTGCTGAAAGTCAACATGCATTCTTAAAGATGCATAGCACGCTGACCTCGCTATTAAACATAACAGATTCATGGTTTTCTATTATTGACAAGCATTGAATTAATATAAGCGTATTTCTCGACCTTAAAAAAGCGTTTGATACGGTGAACCCCGGGATTCTTCTATCGAAACTAACCAAATACGGAGTGGAAGGGACATCTCTTCGGTGGTTCACATCGTATCTAACCAACAGAAGACAATACTGTCAAATAAATGGCCATAGATCAAGCTTAAAAATTGTTCACTGCGGTATCCCCAGGGATCGTGCTTGGGGCCGCTCCTTGTCATCCTGTATGTCAATGATTTTGAGCAGTGCCTCAAAAAATTCATCTCAAACATGTATGCGGACGATACCAGTGTCACCTGTTCTGCCGAAGATATCTACGATCTCTGTAATGATCTAAAAGCTGAAATCGACAAAATTGCAGAATGGTTACGTCAGAATAAGCTTAGTTTGAATACTGAAAAAACAGAATATATGGTTATTGGTCATAAACGACAAACCAACCGTATCCTTGGCCCACTAGAGGTAAATGTAAATGGAGAGCCAATCAAACGAGCTCAAAAGGTAAAATACCTAGGAATTACGGTCGGCGAAAACCTGACATGGAATGAGCAATATAAAAACCTTAAAGGTAAAATAAAAAAATGCACACTCGTCCCTGTGCAAACTAAAAAACATATTCCCGCAATTGAAACAGGATCAGGTCTATAAGGCGCTGCTCGAGAGCCATTTTAAGATACAGTGATGAACTATGGGGCAAATTGTCAAACACAAATCTCCATCATCTTCAGCGTTTACAAAACAGAGCACACACGCTAATAGAAGGCTCAAGATTAAAGGACGGGTGGAGCTGCAATTGGCTTTTGGTCTCAAATTTTGATAAAATTTGACAGGGCAGTAATGATCTACAAAATAATAAATGGTCTCTGCCCTGACAATTTGAAAGGAAGATTTGACACAAGATCCCAAATATCTAACTATTCAACAAGAAATTGCCTTCACCTAGACATCCTAAGGCAAAACCTAAAATTCTCCAAAAGGAGTTTTTTCTATTGTGGTGGACAGACGTGAAACGAAATTCCATTACAGATAAGAATGAGCTCCACGATTACCACGTTCAAAAAGAAACTAAAGGAATTCCTGCAAAATTCTGAAAATGGATATTACCATTTCGCCTTTCGTTATAGATATTTGTAGTAAAATTAAACTCAAGTTAAAATGGGATTTTTTTTTAGATTGTAAATATTGAATTGTAATTAGCATAATTTGTAAATTTTGGCCGTAGCTGGATCTTATTCAAATACGCCTTCAATATTCCTTGCGCTGAATGAGTTGCGCGAAAGCGTCGAAACCTGTCCGCGCATTTGATTGAACATGGATTTCAGATAAAAATTTATTCCACTCTTCTTCATATAAGAACCTGGAATTTGAAGCTAAGATTGTTATTTTTTAGTTTTTCAAAAACATGATCACTGGAATATTATTAGTTTGCAATTAAACTGCTAGGGTTTGTTTAAAAATCTAGACAGGAAAACTAGAATTTTACTGAAGAAAACACTGTGTGTGTATAATGCAAGTATAGGTTGTTTGATAATATTAGCAAGAAATGAACTCCATCGTGAAAGATTTTGTCTTGATCAATATAGACGAAAGCGTAATCAGCTTTTCTTAAACTTACCAAATGCACAAATGGTATGAAAACTCCAAAACTGACCAACATAATTGCAAAAACGAAGATGATGTAAGCATAATTTCTTAGTAAAGGTATTTCCTCCATTTCTGTCTTGATCGTTATTTCTCTCTTTCTCTCCTTCCTGCACTTCAAAGAATTAGGCCCAAAACTCTCCTCAGGCAGCTTAAATAACACAGAGACTGCTATTATAAGCAGTGCAGTCACGCTCGACAGCCGCATTCCACTGCTGAATCCATACTTTTGCAAGATGAAACCGAGACCGGGAGCCTGAGCGAGTCCTCCGAGGCTGCTTCCGCAAAGCACTATTCCATGGGCCAGTGATAATTTCCTTTTGAAATAGTGGGGCAAAATCAGCAATGGAGCAAAATAACATAAACTTTGTCCTATCGCAAACATAAGCCCAAGTGTGAAATAGGTTTCGAAAATACTGGATGCAAATGATGTCGCCACGAGTGAAAGGCCAATTAATGTTCCTCCAAGAAGCAGTGAGAGTCTATATCCAACCAGGTCGAAGACTCTGAAGGTAATCGGCGTCAATAGGAAAGTCATAGCTATTGACAAGGAGCCGGTCCAAGCTGCAAAGAATATTACAATATTACAATATTATTTTATCATGAGCATAAGTTTTATATCTTTAATCAAAAGTGCAATTATTCAACGGTTTCGTTCTTTTGTGGCCTCTTGCTTGTCGACAGTTTCTTGTTTGCAAGATGTATATGAACCGCATAAACCCCTACTTGGCCTTTTTTGTTTTACAAAAATTGCAAAGCAAGACAGTAAGCTATTCTCCGAGCTTGTTCTAAAAAAAGTTCTAGCATTATTCACGCTTTAAGGGCAGGCTTCTACAAGCAAAAACAAACCAATCCAATCGATATTTTCAGTAAATCAACTTGTTGGCATGGCCACCGACGGGTTTAGGAGATCCCGGGACAACATCCGGAGTCGAGGACCCTGGGAGCGGAGCGGTAGAAAAAATTTGCGACCACTCTCGGTAGATTAACACAAAATGCCATTCATTATACTTCGGTTACTCATATTCTTCTGACCGTTGAAAACTCTTATTGTTCTTCATGCATATTTTTATTTCATTTGATTTATTCAATTTTTAAAATTTAATTCATTAACTCCTGAGGCCCCCTGCACCTTGAAGCTCTAATGCAATTTTCCCCCTCTTCCCCCACTCTCAGTGGCCCTGGTTGTTGGTTAAACTTTAGTTGCTATATATCGTAGCCTAGACGTATTGTCTTTGTTCTACATTCGCAAACAAAAAAATTAATGCCCCCTAATAAAAATAAATTTTAAAAAATTGCGACTGAAGTAACAGGTCTTATCATATTCTATGATAAAGTGCTTGAATCAGCCAAATTTAGCTGAACTGGACACTGTCCAGGATAAGTACAGTCAATCTATTTCATTCTAAAGAAATGTGACTAAAAAATAATTGGAAAACAAACATTTCTTGATTGATTTGTTTAAATTTTCAAGCTCCAGGCATAAAATTTCAAATCCAGCTCCAAATTTTGATTTCCAGCTCCAAAAAGGGCTCAACTCCAGTTTAGAATAACCTTTGGCTATTCCTCAATACCGCGTTTTGTATCGTTTGTACGGCGTTTATTTCCAGGCATAATCTGAAACTGTCGAGCTGCATTGTTAGTAAGCTCCTCGTGTTTGCTGCAAATCGATCGCGAAAGGTGTTACGAATATTTTAGTCAGCTAGCCCCCCTCAGTCCACTGCGTCCGCATAAATTAATGCTTCACCATTTTGTAAAGCTTTCTTTTTGAATAAATGAATCATTCAAAGTTTTAAGTCTTAATGCAAATTATGAACGCGGCTATGAATAAGGGCAAAGGTTACCCAGCTCCTTGCAAGAGACGGTTTTCATCTTAATTTCAGAGATAACAGGCAATTAGCACTGAACTTTATTCAAAAACTTAGATCGTATTCATTTTGATTAAACAAGGATGACTCGACAGAAATATATGAAAGAAAAAAGAGTTTTAATATACATAATGATAATAGCCTAAAAAATTTGAATAACATCAATATAAATACAGTAAATAAAAACCCCGAATCATACGTCCATGAAACCTAAATGAAAAAATTCCAGAAACTGATTCCTGCGAATTAAATACAGTTGACATTCTTAGAAAATCAGGATTAAAAATAAAAGGGTCTTGTAATAGCATACCTAAACATTAACTCAATCAGGAATAAAATTGAACCATTAAAATTAATGGTTTCAAAATATGTTGACATTCTTACAATCGCCGAAACTAAAATAGATGAAACTTTTACAACAAGTCAATTCATGATCGAAGGCTTTGGAGAACCCTTCAGAAAGGATAGAAAAAAAATTGTGGAGGCCTCCTTACCTATGCAAGGGAAGGGATCCTTGTTAAGAGCTAACAAATTACAAATTTCCTAATGACATTGAAATATGCACCACCGAAATAAAACTTAGAACAAAAAATGGCTACTACTTAGCATATATCGCCCAACCTCCCACTGCCCAAGCTAGAAGAGATCGAAAAAGGAATCGATTTCTTCAGCAACAAACTTGAAAATCTTATCGTTATGGGCGATTTCAATTGCGAAGTGGGTGACAGCGCAATTACGGCTTTCATGGACACTTATAGATTAGTTAACTTGATCAAGAATCCAACCTGTCACAAGTCAGACAACCCACGATGTATAGATTTGATACTGACAAACTGTTAAAGTCACTTTCAAAACACGACTAATGTTCAAACAGGGCTGTCTGATTTCCACGTAATGATACTGAGCATACTCAAAGGGGATTTCACCAAGAGAGTTCCCAAAATACTCGATTTTCCGAGCTTTAGATCTGAAATTTTGAATCATCGAATACTAAACTTTAGAGACTACGGAAGTGTTGATATCTCGGTCAAAAGTCTTCTTAATAAACATGCCCCCATTTAGAGAAAGTATGTTCGTGCAAACGACGGGCCATTTATGACGAATGAATTACGTAAGGCAATAATGCATCGAAGCAAATTGAAAAATAGATATACTAATAACAAAAATGAGGAAAATCATAAAGCATATGAATGGCAAAGGAACAAATGTGTAAAGTTATTACGTAATGCTAAAAGCAGTTATTTTAGGAACCTCGACTTAAGTAATCTTACAGATAATCGCAAATTCTGGAGAGCGATCAAACCGGTCTTTGCAGAAAAGATAAAAACAACACCCTCTATTACATTGGAAGAAAATTGAGAATTAACTAGTGATGACCGCAAGATTGCAGAATTATTTAACAACTTCTTTATAAACATCACAGAAGATCTAGGAATTCAACAATATAAAGCTCACATATGGTATAAATGACCCAATCGATAAAGCCATTGAGAAATATAAAAACCACCCAAGTATCATAAGAATAAGAGAAATGTACCCTGACCCACAGCCCTTTGAATTTAGGGAAGTTAACAGTGGGGAAATTTGGGATCAGATAAACAATCTTAATACCAGTAAAGCCTCACCAATAGAAAGTATACCTGCTAGGATATTTAAAGAATATTCAGACATTTTCTCTGAAATTTTACAAAGAACATTTAATGAGGACCTATCTAATATGACATTTCCAAAAGAACTCAAATTAGGAGACATATCATCGTTGCATAAAAAAGATGATAAATTCAGTAAGAGAAACTATAGACCAATTGCTACCTTACCGTCAGCATCAAAAATATATGAGAGAATCATGGAATCACAAATTACTCCCTTCGCTCATGGTTTTTTATCACCACTGCTATGTGGTTTCAAAAGGGATTATAGCAACCAACATACATTACTCAGACTCATAGAAAATTGCAAAAAAGCTCTAGATACTAAACAAACAGCCAGTGCACTACTGATGGATCTGTCAAAAGCATTTGACTGTCTCAATTGTGACCTAATGATTGCTAAACTCAATGCTTGTGGTTTTTGTAGAAGCGTCTTGAATTTCACATCATCGTACCTTAGCCAGAGGAAACAAAGAGTCAAAATAAACGGCTCTTTCAGTGAATGGAAAACTATGAGTGTAGGTGTGCCACAAGGATCAATTTTGGGAGATCTCTTATTCAACTTATACATAAATGACATGTTTATGATTATATCAAAGAGCTAAATATGCAATTATGCTGATGACACAACACTATATGTTATCCACCAAGACATTAAAGGAGAACTGACACGCAAAAATAACTTTGGCTTATTCGATGCAAAATTTCTCGCTGACTTCAAATCTGCAAAAAGTTTTCTTCTAAGATTCGCCGTTTTTCTGATATTTGCACTTTTATCCGTCAATTACGTCACAGCCAGGACTCGGGAATTTCCCCAAGCGAAAACAAGATTATCGCCAGGAGTTGTTAAAATTCTCGGTTGACGTCACAAGTGACATGTTAACAATGCCGTTGTAAAGGCTTTGACCGCAACGGTGAAAGTACAAATGAAGTTTCGTGTTTTATTGAAAAAAGTATGCGATAAAAAGACAAAAAATTGTCAGGCATTTCATTTATAAGTATAAAGAAGCTAGAAAATCCTAGCTACATATCTGATAAGACGCTAATATCCACATAAAATTTATTTTTATGCCATGATATCTTCGAAGCAGCATGCTCCGAAACATTCAAAGAACCGCAAAGCTTGTGAAAAAAGGAATCAACTTTGTTTGAAAACTGATACCGTTTCTTCAAAGTTTTTATTTTTACAATTACAAATAAAACTGCAATATGGGGTTGGGGGGGTTGAAGCAATAGCCAAAAGACAAACGAAATCTAGTGGAGACAGCGGTAAAAGCGATCCTGCAACCTGCTTAGGGTGCAGAAATATGAATTCAAGAAAAAACCTTGTTTGATGGGAGCTGCGAGTGTGACTAAATAATAATTTCACTGATCTTGATTATTGTATTTTAACAGAGGTTGAGATACTAGGGAATAATCTAGTCTAGAAAAAGACCATCCCCCACCCAAGTCAAAATTGTTTGCAAAAGAAGATAATGCGCCTGTTGATATTCCTATGACAACTAAACAGCATTTTTTCGACTAAGAAATCAAGTTCTTTGGCTAATAGCTAAGAGCCTATTTCGTAAATCCAGATTTTTCGACTGCCAGGTAACTTATCAGTTCCCGAAACCCTTCACGCCCGGTGAAAATGGCATATAATACGCACAAGTCGACTTTTAACCCGCCTTCACTATTTAATATCACGATACAGTTAACGCGTTTGAAACATTGAAAAACAATCATAGAATGTTACATTAATTAATAATGAATAACTTGCAGTTCCGTTTAGGGCATTGTGGTGAACTGTTCTCATTAGTATTCTGTTTATATGCATTTTCACGTCCTCTTATTGTTCACACATAATTACCATTGTTTTAACGCATTTTAAATACTCTTTGTTGTTTCTAATTGCACTGCACATTAACTGATATCCATGGAAACAGTTTAGTTGATTTTAGTTTTGTTATGGGGTGTGATAGTTGAGTTCGTAAGGATCGAGGAATGAAATTGAGTAAGAGAAATGAAAGATTTGTTTATTGATTAAATTCTCAAGCGGTGAGTTCGTTCCATTTATTTTATGTATATAGATATCTTAAAGGGCCTCCATAGCATCATGGGCATTTTAGCCAATTTAGGCCATACAGACAAAGCAGTCTAGACAAAGACGCCTCAGTCTGAAATGAAATTCTAGTTTTACAATACCTGATCTCATTTAGATTGTAGTTATAGCATTGTTTTTAATAGAAATTCCATATCAGTTTGTACTTCCAGTCTGTTCTTTGTCCATAACATCGTTACTGTTGAGCCATGGGACGACTCACGACTGTCTGCCCAAGCGGCAGCGCTGGTTGGCAGCAAAAACTCAGACGGCTGAAACTCTCCATTTGTTTCGAAATCAGTGTAATAAAACTCCGATTCAGAGTCCCAAACCATTGAAAAAGTCAATTATGTGTCAAAATTGCAAAATTAGCTCCTTTCACATGCACAAAATAAACATTTGCCCGCAGCATTTTGTTAAAGGTTTCTATAGAGAAACACAATACGTGCTGAGAACATGTCACTTGTGACGTCAAAGATGATCGCCCACTCGTGACGATTTTCGCCTCGAGTCTCAAGTTGTCGGAACAATTGTCGTTTCTCAACTTAAAACGCTTGTATTTCAAAAACGGTAACTGTGATTTAAAGAATTCTTTCTATCCCGGAATTTGCTTGTCACAAACTACCGTTTTAGCCAAACTTATTTTTGCGTGTCAGTTCTCCTTTAAGCAGGCTATTAAAGGGGAACTGAAGTGAAAAATGAAAATCAATTATCTAGTAGTTTTCATCGTGCTGATTTCGAATATCGACACGAAATTAGTGTTTTTCTTTTCGTTTTCCTGCATTCACCACGCGAAGTGTGAAATTTCTCCATTTCGGTGGCGGAGAGGTCTGGAGACAAGTTTCAGGCGCTGACGTAAAGTCGTGGACACGTGCCCCGATCGCAACGAAAACAACATTGTAGTAGGTAGTAGAGTGAATCGGAGGGAGGGATTCGGTTATTGGTTAGAATTTCAGTTCGCAATTTTCACGACAGCTCTTCAGGAATGACAACAGACTTAAGATCGAGCGACGATGAATTTGGAGCATGTGGTGGTGAAGTACTTGCCCTACCAAGGGCGAACGGGAACTGCGAAAGTGGCGATGAAGATTAGCCTAGGCCCGATGAGATCCCAGAGGCTGAGGATGAATTATCTCCCGCGACGTGCTCGTTTTGTCGGTAGAAATGAGGAAGTAAATCAATGGTACGTCGATCTTTGTTTCTTTTCTGACAATGAAGGCAAGAACAACTCAAACACAATTTCCTTATTTCCTTATAAAAAGTAAGATACAACTGAGAATGTAGGCTACATATTATAATCTTTCCATTTCTAAAATCTGAAATAATAAGGATTATTACATGTTACAATTTAATAAATATTTCCTTTGATATAAAACGTTTATACATAGTTTGATGTGTAGCACGGAACAGGTCGACCTAATCCACTTTGGTTTTAAAACTGGCTTGTTTTTTGTACATTGACAAGTATTATTAAATCTTACTGCAATTAAGATTTTTGGACTGATAATTCGAAAATGTCAAATATTTAATAGAATTGCATAAATATGCCTAAAATAGATTGATACCTAAAATTATATCCATTTTGCTAGGTATCTACAAACAGTGGCCGATCAATGGATGGTTTGCTGGCTTTTGGATGGTGTGCTGGAAAAACTGGACAATTTTAAGTATGAATTTATCACAAAATGTAAAGAAAAGAACTTTAGTCAAAGAAGACAAGGGTTTCAAAATTCTGCAGAGAGACAATGAAAATGCAAAACTCAGCTACCTACTACATATACAGTGGAGTACAGGGTTATATACAGGGGTTATTCAAAGGGACCAGACTTTCAGTTCATAATAGCAAGAAGAGAAATTTAGAACCAGTGGGGTCATGTTATAAGTTAGAAATTTGTTAAAACTAGTGGAGATTGAGCAAGGCTTGATATTTTCAAGATTCCTAAGGTATATTTTTCAAGATATTTTACTCACATCAAAATGTGTAGAATAGTTTGGATTTGATAAAGTTTTTCTCTTACAATAATGGTCCTGTACCACCTGCTTGGTAACATTTTTTATACATAATCAGAAGAAAATGTTTTACCTTCACAGTACAATGTTCTTTTAATGTATTCTGTCACTGCCTGTTGTTTAGATACACTGTTTTCAAATTTTGAGAATGAAGTTTTTTGGTGCCCAATGGTTATATTTTTCTGAAATTTGCTTCAACTCAACATTTTTCATAGAACAGTTATGAGATAGAAACCCTGACATATCTTTTGTTAAGATAAGGTCTTTTAATAAACTTGGAAACATATACATCATTTAATGGTTGTGCTTTAAATCCTTCTCCTTTATGTACATCCTGGTATGAATGTTTTTTGTGCCTGGAGTTATACCAGAAAATGCTTTGATATCATGTTCTATAGACAAAGCATGAGAAATCATGTTTAAAGGGGTATTTCTGAGGTTGGGGACCATTCTTATCATTTTCAGCAAGTCAAATTGTGTCGGTTTGCCAAGTTTCATGGCTGTATAGTTAACAGAAATAGATTGACCATACTAACGTATTTTGAGTACTGGGCACAAGTACCCCAGTCTAAAAATAGCACAAGGGGGATTTCTGAGGATGGGGACCATTTTTATCATTTTAGGCAAGTCAAATTGTGTCGGCTTTGCCAAGGTTCATGTGTATAGTTAACAGAAATAGATCATTAAGCAGCTGTGCGTAACCGGGAGGGGTGCAGGTAGCTATTTATTCCTGAGTTACTGGGCACAAGTGTACCCCAGGCAAATAGCACAAGGGTTTTTTTCCCAAATGATACTTATTTATCTTGTTTACGCATTCGTGATATTCTGTATTTTGCATTAAGTTCATGCTTTTTATGACATTTCCGTTGTTAACCTTCATGAACCTTATCAACTCATACTAAATTTCACATAACATCTCATTCGTGTCCCACTTTGACGGTCAGACAAGGGTCACGTGACACATGGTCGACCGCGTTCTCGCTCGCATCAGATGAGTGGCAAATTTCACTTAAAAACTTATAAACTTTTTAAAAAACTAAAAATACGTATTCAAAAAAATTCAAACGGTTTTGAACAGCAAACTGGAACTTTATCAGTTGGTAAAAAAATCGTTTTTCACGTTCAGTTCCCCTTTAAAAAAGTACTGATATACAGACGTAGCTTTTTGAGAGAATGATTTTTCAAATTAATATATGAAAATGGTGGGTACAAAATGCCACCTATAATTATTGGTAAAGGCCGAGTAGACGACACATCTCTGAAAATAGTATAAACGATATTAAACCAAGGTAAAAGGAACAAAAAACCTTTTTGGAATTAAGTATTGAATATACGAGATATTCCTTCAAAACCAATCAGAATTCGTATGGTTTGAAAGGTACAACCTTTTGGGGGATCCAAGCTTGGCAAGAGCTTACAAATGCACTTAAAACATCTTGTACCTCGCAATTTTTTTATTTTTACATAGAAAAGGAATAAATATAAACTTGGAACAATATAAAATGCAACTGCAGACTATTGCACCTTACGTTGCGCAGATTGAATTTCTTGAATAGTATCGATTAATTGTTATATTTTTAATCTAATCAGCTCCTTTTATTTTGTAATTTCTATATCATTATCATTTCATTGTTAAATTAATTAAGATTGTTGTAAATTAGTAAATTATGTAGGCTTTTTTAAAGTTATGTTTATGTATTAAGGTAAAAATTTCTTGGCTTCGCATACTGTAATAATATTATAAATAATAATAAAAAAAATAGTAATGTCCGTGAATTACATTTTTTGCCACGATTATATTTCACATAATGGATTAAGCACATTTAAATTTCAAAGAAGTTACCTTCAAAATTTTTTGAATTTTCTACCTGTTTTCTGAATAGAAACTAGGCATTGCTGCAGTAAACATCTAGCAAGAACAATCGTTTCCGAGAAAAGTGTTATCAGCATCATGATCAGGCCTGTAAGAAAGCCCATTTTATTTTCTTTTGGCTTCCCCCAAAAGATTTCCTTGACTTCGTGGGGGCCCACCCCGGCTTGGGCCTGCCATCCTTACTCGAGCCGGACTCAAACATTCACTGTAGAAGGCAACATTATATAAAAAAATGTGTTATTAAAACATTGAATTGACAACATAAGTTACTTTAAAAACTTTTGCTGGAGTACCTATCAGTGCGTTACTTTCTGTAAACTTTTCTTGCATCGACACGTAGATGGATCCGAATCCACGGTAAAATCCAAACGCTGTGAATTGGACAAGAAATGCCGATGCACATAGCAAGCATTGGAAAAGCTTCTTTCTGGTAAAGCTTCCTTTGGGCCCTACATCCTTACTATTCATGTTTGAAAAAAAATTTCTTAATAGGCCAGCCCTGAAAAATATTTGCCAACAGAAACCCACAAGCATCTGTGTTAGACCAAGGCAACGATTGAAGATAATGCTACAATAGCTTTAAATATCAATTTCTTCATATCGCATTTCATTTTGGATTATATTCATTGTTGGTTGATCTCCAGAAGCAAATTCAAGATTTTTTTGGCATGCGAAGTTCTGACAAAACCGGAAGTGACATGCATCATACTTTGAAAGTTGCTTATGTAAGTTTAGTTCTGAAAAGACAGGAAACACTCGATAACTCGAGCTCCCGATAACCCGAACATTGCCTAACTTGAACTGATATTGCGTCCCCTAGAACCTAGCGTAATACTTTCAGATACAAATGCCATCGATAACTCGAACCCTCCGATAGTTCGAACATTGCCTAACTTGAACTGATATTTCTCCCCTAGAACCTAGCGTAATACTTTCATAAACAAATGCCATCGTTAACTCGAACCCTCCGATAGTTCGAACATTGCCTAACTTGAACTGATATTGCGTCCCCTAGAACCTAGCGTAATACTTTCAGATACAAATGCCATCGATAACTCGAACCCTCCAATAGTTCGAACATTGCCTAACTTGAACTGATATTTCTCCCCTAGAACCTAGCGTAATACTTTCATAAACAAATGCCATCGATAACCCGAACCCTCCAATAGTTCGAGCACTGCCTAACTTGAACTGATATTGCGTCCCCTAGAACCTAGCGTAATACTTTCAGATACAAATGCCATCGATAACTCGAACCCTCCAATAGTTCGAACATTGCCTAACTTGAACTGATATTTCTCCCCTAGAACCTAGCGTAATACTTTCATAAACAAATGCCATCGATAACCCGAACCCTCCAATAGTTCGAGCACTGCCTAACTTAAACTGATATTTCTCCCCTTGAACATAGCGTAATACTTTCATATACAAATACCATCGATAACTCGAACACCCGATAGCTCGACCTTTTCCTAACTCGAACTGATTTTGCTCCCTTTAATAATGTATGAATCGTAACAGATTTTTTGGTTCATCAAACGAAAATGCTGTTTTGGTTTGAAACATAAACAAATTCATTCAGTCTCGTATTTTGCGTATTGCAAGAAACAATCAATCCTTCTCCATCACCAAGATCATTTTATACGATATCCATCAGATCATTAATTTGATTATTTGATAAGCATAAGTAAAGATAATTAAGAAACAATAATTGTTACAAAGTTTGCAAGAGAAAACTCGGAGAGTGCAGAAAAATTTGAAATTTTCATGTACAATGAACCGAAACTCTGTTGCTAGCGATAAATTTTCACTCATTGCTTTTGATTGTAGACTATTGACTTTTGCATTTTTTGTATCTATCGTTGCTGCAATTGATTAATCTGCTGCTAATCGTTGCTTACCATATTTGTAAGAGGAGTCATTCAAATAATATCAGTAGCTGATGTAAGTGTGACTCTTAAACGGTATATGTATTTAGATAAATTAATTTTTTTCCTGGTTATGATGATGATGCACCTCTTACAAGGAATGCATTTCGCTACAGGAGTTCTCGATAGAAAGAAACTTGCTTTAAAGTCCAAATATCTTTGTATTTATTGTGTCCTTTGATACGGTGGTTTTTAGGAGATACTGAAGTTGCAAGAACGATCGGCAGCTCATTTTGTAGCACTTTTGCACCTGTTTACTAAGTTTTTGCCTTTCTGCAGTGCAGAAAGATCTATGAACTGGAATTTCAATCTTCTGTTCCATTTTTTTAATGTTTTTTGTTGATGTTGTTGTTTTTGTTGTTGTCTACGTTAAAATACTTCAAGTAACTCGAACATTCGAGCTATAGAATCTTGATAACTCTAGCAGTCGATAACTCGAACCATTACATTGGAGGCTCGAGTTTTTGGGTATTTACTGTATCATCTAAGATTTGCCAATGAAAACTATTGCCAATTATATGTAGGGAAAATTATAACCATCTCATTGAAGTTTTAGGGCTGAAAAAGCCTTGCGTGAATAAACCTACATGTAGGGACGCTGGAGCACGAATGTGTGTCTGTTTGTTCGAGGAGCTGGTTGCCAATCAACCAAAAATAAATTAAATAATATTTCAACTCTAGCAACTACATGTTTCTCAAAGCCAAAGGCTCTTTCCTTGTTATGAAAATAGAAATAATATCCTGCTAGTTGGAATCGTTTGGAGACATTTTGATGCTGCAAATCGTTGTTTACAACCCTTCGTTAGCTGTGATTAATAGACAAATATGTTCAGTTTCTGCCAAAATTATGCGTTGAGAATAACTTTTATTGTCAAATCATGTGAAATAGTGAAGGGACAAAAGATGGAGAGTCGTATTCACTCCTGACGAAACTTTTTTCAACCCTTATATGTCTCACAATAATAATATATTATAGTATAATAATGACATAATATAATAATAATAATAAAGAAATCATAAATAATTTGTTTACAGTTGAGAATAAGTTATCTCATCTATCTGGCATTAAGTTAACTCAAGCTAACTATTTTCAATAAAAGTGATAATTTATAAAAAGTAATTATATATAGAATGCCTAAATGTACAATATATGCTTTGCACAATCCACAACTGCACTCGAAGTTTATATAAATTTTATGTTTGGTTGAAAGATCTGCAGTGATTGGGACTCTTTGATTTCAGTAGGTAGCATTTGCCATATTTTTGGCCAATAAATCTAATGGTCTCCGTGCCATATGTTGTTGTTCTTGCACATGACAAAATAATGTTGCTGTTTGCCCGAAATCCATAATTCAGGTTTCTAGTAACAATTTTCAAGTAACACAATTTGCTACATCAAGCTTAATCATTGTCCATAACCCGCAAAATACATTAGGTTTATAAATCTCTCACTAGCTTCACAAAGAAATGCCAATTCTGATCGGATCTCGCCTTTGTAATTTTGAAAAACCATTTTGTGTAATATTCTAATATTTTCTGAATATTCTAATAAACAACAACTTTCCTTTTAAAAAAGAGTCTACTCAATTCATCTATGGCGTTAAGCTTCTTTAATATTCACATAATTCTAGATACCAAGCTATTTTTGCAATTAGATACAAAGCTTTCTTCATTTAATCATTTAACAAATTAGGAACCATTTGTACTGTATAGGTAGGTTAGGTTAAGGTAGCTAACATGCAGACTATTGTGATACGTGCAGTAAAAAAGCACTGGAAAGTTACTACCAGAGGCGAGGAATGGTTGCCGCAGAAGGTGAGAAAATTTTCAAAAATTTGATGCTACCACTTTGCTCAAAAATGCACTCATTGAAGCAATTTTAACTAAGTTAATACAACTATACATTTATATCAGCGGGAGGAACGCTTTTTAATGGTTTTATTCGATTTTCTTGCTGGCATTCTCGCAATTTGCGCCACTAGCCTTGAAAACTTGCAATGTAGAGTTTGGTTCTCATTGCTGACAGCTTGCCAATCAACATCTGAAATATCAAAATGCCGTGTTTGCAAGAAAAAATCGAAATGAAGATGAAAACAATCAAATATACCATCAACTATCATTAATTATTTAATTTATGCCACCAGCAAGTTTGCCGAGTAAGTACCAAAATGGCGAATCCGCCGATTAAACAATTCTTGAGGCTTGCCACACTTCCTCACATACAATCCCCCTGTTTATTGGGGAGACGAGCATAAGAAAGTATTTTGATGAGTGAGGTAACCCTCTGTCCTGGAACCAACGAGCATGCGCATGGAAAGAGATTTTATTAAGAACGGTTTTTGACGCCGGGACGGAATCCCCAATCCTGCTATGTCTATTTCTGGAAGAAGAATTATGCCTGTCTTACAGACCATGAACTAGCTCCTTTTCCGGGCCCTTGCTCGTGCGCATTATCACTGCCATCAGGCACGTAAATAATAGGGGGGCGTGGGGGGCGTAACGCCCCCCCAAAGTTTGGAAAATCCAGTTACAGTTGGAAAACATAACGGTTGACTTGGAATTTTTTTCTTAAGACCAAACTTGTGAATTTTATATTTTAAGAAGTTTTTTTATTTTAAATATAAAAATTCTAAACATTAAAATTCACAGGCTGAAGCTGACCCATCCAATCGTTTTCTATTGTGAATCCCGTCTCCACTGGATCCAAATTGCACACTTGCCCCGTTTTCTTTTTCTTTCTTTCTGACGGGAGTTGAATCAAATTACGAACAGGCAAGGTGAACTTACGGATAAGAAACTTGAAACTTACAGTTTGGAATAATAATACCCGCATTGATCAGAAAATATTAGAGTGGGAATTTTTTTAGAAACTACGAGTAGTTAATTCAATAAAAGATTAAGAATCTTTCAGTACTAAAAATTCTCAACGCTTCTTATAAAAAAACGAGTTTATGCTAAACTCCCCCTGTTATTTGTTAATGTCCTTGAGTCCTTATCATAAATTCCTATGACAAAACTGCTGTGGAGCAAGAACACATTGCAAAAACTGCAGTAGAAGTATTTGATCAAAGAAGAGTATTTCATCTTTCGAATCAGGCATATGCACAAGTTTGTTCTCAAATCATCATTTCAATTGTAAAGAATGAAAAGGCATTTGGCCCTCTGAAAAGTTTAAAGGTAGTTTTCTTCGATCAAGAACGAAAATAAAAGGCCCAAATTCTTGGTGCTTCTATATCGTGAAAAAATATATTTTAGATAAGATTGATCTGCGCCAATTGATTAATTGATCAATTTAGATAAAATTGATCAATTGATCTGAAAGAATACTACTAATCATTAAGTATATCTAATACTGGTTTTGCTTAAATGTTGCTTTACTTCTTACAGTATGTTTAATGTTTGTTTCATGTTAATCAAAATTTAGAGATTTAGGCTTTTATGCTTTAGGCTAATTATTGAGTAAAGATTTGGTAATTATAAAGAAAATAGAACTATGGTGTTCGGGCTATTTACAAATATCAATTTGGTAGGTACAACAGATCTACTGGTCGAATGAAAAATTTATCACTTAAAGTTGGAATTTTCATACTTCCACGCCCCCCCAAAATTAGCAACTTGTTTTCGTCCCTGACTGCCATGATTAGAAATTCAAGGGTTGTGTTGTCGCAGACAGAACAGATGTGCAGAAGTGCCATGACAATGCCATACAGATTGGTTAAAACGGTATTACAGCGTAATATCGTCTTCCGAACAAGTCTTACAGCCTCTTATGTTAGAATAGCTTTCAAGAATTGATGATGGAGAATGAAGTCCAAGAAAAAATTTTTTTTTTAAAACAGAATCTATCTTTCTTCTGCTAGTGGCAATTTTAATCTCTAGAAACTTATTTGGGATTATGACTTTTGCAATGAAATTCTGACAATACTCCTCATTTTTTTCAACAGGGTTCTTCTCTTATTCTGGCGCTCATATACACTCTTTGAGCAAAAGTATTGCACAAAGTTGACAAATGGGTTTTTGCCACAGAGTTGTAAACGACATGGCTTATGAAATCAAATCAACTTTTATGAAACCATTAGGCATTAGTTTTTTATAGGTAAAAACCATTTAATCTAAACCCTAAACAATGGGCAACGCTTTGTAAGACTTGCTAAGATTTAGAAAATAACTTATATAACAGATTATGTCAAACTCGACATAGAAGATATAAAAGACATTGGTAAATTTTCCATTATTCTCCAACACAAAGTTATCTTGCAACTTTTGTATAATTTGCTGCAGCTATTTAAACTTTTGCTAGCTCCAGAATTTTGCAGCATTTCTGCTTCAGGTTGTGCAATATATTTGTCCCGTAAGTGTGAAATCTAATCTATAAGCTGTTTTGTGAATGAAAAAGTTTGGCCAGGTCCTAATTTGAAAAAAAAGACACGTATGACCGGAATAACATTGCAATGGTGTAATTATCAATTTTGGTTTATTCACATAAAAAAACTATGAACAAAGAGCTATACCCCTTTGAAAGAAGACAAACATTTGTTTTATGTTCGAGAACGCAGTTAGGCCCGGGCCCATGGGCCCCCTAAGATTCTTTGATTTTGGGGGCCCCGTGCAAAATTTTATAAGCCTTTAAAGTGCTCTTGATTTCAATCTTGTGTTTAAATGGAGCTAGGGGGCCTTGTAAAGTAATTAATCCCGTTTCAAGAATGGAATAAAGGGCGTGGTCATAAGAATTTTTAGCTCGCTCCGCTCGCAGGGGCCTCATATTTTGTTTTAATCCCAGGGCTTTTAAAACTTTCGCTTGTCCTGATAGGAGCTTCCCCCATTGCAATGACTGCCCTTAGTTTTTTGCTCAATTTGCCATACGGTGGTTTCTCAGGTGAAAAATGTTTCACCATGCTGAAAAGGGTAATTAAAAAGAGTGTGAACTAAGGTCAACAATGTCACAGTAGCGCGTTGTTTCCTTATGTTTAATCATTAAACAATCTTTAAATGACAGCAGATGTTGATGTTCTGGGAGTTTTAAACGCCAATAAAATCATCGAAAGGTTTACAGCAGTTGGGTAGTTTTTTGCTAAGATACTGAAATGCGCAATAGATACAAGTTCATTCGTGTTTTAAAGTTAGTTTATTATGTTTCATTACGTTTAGTAAAGTACTGTGCACGTGACACGAATTATTTGGTATATTTTAAGGGGCCCCAATCAACTTTGGGCCCAGTGCCCCAACAGACGTAAATTCGACCCTGTGAGAACGTGGGTTCAATTCAAATTCTTTATGATCTTAAGATTCTTGGGAGTGTTGTCATTTTCTATAAAGTTCTCAAAGCGGCAACGAATATTGCTACCACAAAATCCATTAGCCAATTGATTGTTAATTGAATTAAATTTGAAAATTGCAATCAGAGCTTGGTTAAATTTCTCGCTATTTTTTAAAAAGAGGAAATGTAAAACTATTTCTAATTATGATCAAGACAACCAGCTCTCTTCTTCATTACGTTGAAGCTTGTTTGCATATAATAGGGTTTTTAAAGCAGCACCTTTCATTCCAAGTAACTTACGTTTTATTGAAAGATTCTTATTCGATTACGTTGACTTTAAACTTCTACTGTTTGAGGAGAAGTTCATTTTCCTCTTTGTTTAGAGCATGAAAATATCGCACGAAGAACATCAGAAGCATTCCCATAACAGCACATCCTCCAGCAATGAGAAAAGCAAGTATATAGTTGCCAGTGAGTGTATACAAATAACCTACAAGAGAAATAAGAAAAGATAATAAAAGGAAGGAAACGATAAGAGAAAGATAAAAGGTACAATAGACCGAAGTGAGGCTTCACGTGAAACTGACTTGCTACGATAATGGCCATATTCCCTTTGATACACAAAGTGTAACTTCCAAATTTCCACCAGCAAGAACACAATATGAACTTCCCTGGAAATTTGAATATATATTTCACGGTAAGATGAACTTTTCACGACTTCAGAAACAGTAGAAATTCTTTCAAAAAATTATATTTTACTTGTTATATTTCACTATTTTATTAGTGTGAAAATTAAAGAGTTTTTAAAAAATGCAAACATATTGAGACATACTTCATCTTTTAGTCTAGCATTCATATGAATTTTTAAGCCTTCAGAAGCCCGATCGTCCTAACATCCAGCATTTTTTACAATCTATCTGCATCAAAGATGAAATAGCCTCTGTTGTGTAAACAGAAAGAATTTGTTTTCACCCTAGAAATAGACTGGTTAAAATATTTTGAATAATTAAACCGCACTAAATGGGCAAGCTCGATAGTCATGTGCTTGCCATTCTCATTGGCACGTTTCAATCCACAGCTTGATTTACGTATTCTAGCTGGAAGTTTTCAATCCTTGCTCACAGGTTTTATACTCTGAAAAGAGTTGGACGGAAAGCTTTAGTTTGTTCAAAGTTGTTACTTTCTTTAAGGGCATTTCAATAGTTAAATCATTAAACACTGGATTGGTGAAATGTTTTTCCGTACGAAGAAATATTGATAAAACTTTTGTACGCATTGCAGGCATTTTTGCTTGCATAAATCCTGGTAAATTTCACATTGGAAATGAAATTTGTTACTAAATTATCAAGCTCATTATTCCATCGTAACAAGCCTTTGATATGCTCAAACGTTAAGTCTGATATTACAACGTATCACAAGTGGATACATCAAATATAAAGTATTTATTTAAACCACATCGTATTACATCATTTATCATATGATTAATTGTTTTATAAATTCTAAATAATATTAAATTTTGATGATTTCAACATCATTCTTTCATCCCAGCCAAGACCCCTAGAAATTTTTTCTTACCTGCAATTGGGGGGCCACAAAAGGTAGCGATCCCTAAAAAGAATTGACTGACATTGTATCCACTTTTAAATTGCTGCGTTTCTACAATTTCCCTGACAACAATAAGGTGTGATGCATTATGCAATCCTTGAAATAATCCAAAAGCAAAAGAGATTATGGCTAGGCCAGTAAACCCTTTTAGAAATGGCAAAAACACTATTACTCCCATAAAAGCGGTCGAAATCTGACACAAAGCCAAATTGCTAGCCACTTTCATAAATGACAGCTTGCCAAAAGCTATTTTGCCAAGGAACTGTGCGATCCAAGTAAGGCCTGGTAAGAATGTAGCTTCAGTGTAAGGCACTGCCCGGTCAAGAGCCAAACGTACCTGAAAAATTAGTAGTTTCAAATAGAGACATATAGACCAGGCGAGGAAGGGGGGTATCGTCACCCATCGAGGGAATTTGCAAGAACAACTCTATTTGGTCAATTTCGATACGCTGATTACGAAAATCGATGTTATACGGAGAAATTCGGTACCAGGAAGCCTCTATTCCACGTTCAAACCTCGTTTTCGTCCAAATTTGAACGTTGAACGAAAGTTTTTAAATGAATCGATTTTTATCAAGTTCGATGTGCTGATTTCAAAAAATTATTTTATAAATGTAAATTCAGTACCAGGAAGACTCTATTCCCTGTCTAAGCCTCGTTTTCATCAAAATTTGAATGTTGAAAAAAGTTTGTAAATTTTTCATTCTCATCAATTTCGATATACTGATTTCGGTGGTTGATCCCATACGGCGGAATTCTGAATGCACTGGTCCCTTTTCGTGTATTCATCGTTTTCAATATTTCTAGAGTAAAATCTGCTGCACACATAGATTTGCTTTAAAAGCTTAGAAAAGATTATGTCAAAAAGCAATATAATACGGCTAATAAACATTTAAAGTTGTTTTGAATAAACATTCTAGTATCCGTTGTCATCAGAGTCATTGCTATACTCATCCTCAAAGCAATTGTCATTCATTGGGTCAATATTGTCTTCTTCAGCATCTTGATTGATATTTAGAAGCAACTCGGCATTATTATCTAGGTATATGTCTTTACTCCACGATGCGTTACCGGCTGCATCCCAACCATGATCAACTGGACTGCCAATGCTTAACTGTAACTGGTCTGCATTTCTGTAAATGTTTGCAACATAAGCTAATGTAGCTTTGTGCAAATGAGATTGGCAACACACGGTGGCATTAAACTAAGTTCAAAAACTTTCCCTTAAGTTTCAAAAATCTTCCAGAAACTCTTTGAGCGGGCGTCATTGGCCTTGGTGACAATTGTTGAAAAACTGTAAAGAAAGCATGTAAACTTCTCCAAGATTGCAAAGACGACGCAATTGGATGGGCTGGACAATTGGATTGGATGTTCCAAGCCTTGCAAAAGTGCTCACGAATTCGTTGCGCTTTACATTGCTTCTCAGAATGACTTTTTCCCTTTTTTTGGAAATCATGGACACATAATCGTTGCCGGAGAAGGCGTGAAGACCAACTATTGCTCGCCTTTTAATTGAAGACAATGTTGATATGATAGACAGCATGAAGCAAGACCACTGAATAAATTTTCTGTATGACAATTTAACTAGCGCAGTGAAAAATCTAACTGAGATCTTTCTGGAGAACGGCTATCCAGAAGATGTTATTTCAGTTTACGTTAAGGAGAAGATAGGAAATTTCTAGGCTGACGTAAAATTTGGTCCTCAAAAGTGCCCTGTCTATCTAAAACTACCCTGGATCGGTGACAGTTCCCTACGTTTTGAAAGCCAAATAAAACAGGCCATTGCAAATTGTTTCTTCGCAGTCAACCCACGTGTTGTTTATAGTACGAAAAAGGCCCTTCCGTCCGTTCAAAAGGACTGCGTTCCTGCCACACAAAAAAGTTCCGTTGTACGTGACAGTGTGATTCTGGCTACGTTGGACGCACTACCCAAAGATTGGAGGATAGAATAAAACAACATGTTCCATCTAATATTAGAAACAAAACCCATCCCCAAAGAGAACAGCCACCTCGGTCTTTCAAATCTAAAATTACAACTTAAACCTGCGATTCTGCTATCAGGCAGCATATACTAGAAACCAGATTGTGCAAAAACTATAATGGCGACATGTTTTGGATTATTGGTCGACCGTCGTTTTACCTAGAAGTTTTGGAATCTATCTACATAAGCACTAAAAAACCGCTTCTGTGTAGACAAAAGGAGTTCGTTTTCACCTTAGGACACCTTAGGTTTCAACATTCACAATAGGCAAGCGGCACTGATTTGTCAACCTATACAGTCATGTGCTCCTGTTTCTGATTGGCCTATTTCGATCCACAACTGGGTATATATATTTCCTAGCGTAGAGTTTTCGATCTATGTTCTGACGTTTAAAAGTCTGAAGAGTGTCAGACGAAAAGTTTACTAAATGTTTGCTTTTTTCAAAGCCATTTTCAAGTTTTGTACCACCAAAAGATTGTTTACAACTTTAAATGTTTATTAGCCGTATTATATTGCTTTTTGACATAATCTTTTTCAAGCTTTTAAAGCAAATCTATGCGTGCAGCAGATTTTACTCTAGAAATATTGAAAACGATAATTTAACGATTTCAGCATGAAAAAGGGACCAGTGCATTCAGAATTCCGCCGTATGAGATCAACCTTCGAAATCAGTATATCGAAATTGATGAGAATAAAAAATTTACAAACTTTTTTTCAACGTTCAAATTTTGATGAAAATGAGGGTTGAACATGAAATAGAGGCTTCCTGGTACTGAATTTACACTTATAAAATAACTTTTTGAAATCAGCATATCGAAATTGAAAAAAATCGATTAATTTACAAACTTTCGTTCAACGTTCAAATTTGGACGAAAACGAGATTTGAACGTAAAATAGAGGCTTCCTGGTACCGAATTTCTCCGTATAACAACGATTTTCGTAATCAGCGTATCGAAATTGACCGAGTAGAGTTGATCTTGCCAATTCCCTTGATGGGTGGCGATACCCCCCCCCCCCCTTCCTCGCCTGGTCTAATATAGGCACATACAATTATATTAGGCATATAGAAGTATACAGTCTATGATTCAAGATCATTAGTAGAATATTTCTTTATACCAATTCAAAATCAATACTTTGATAGTAGATAAAACTTTTTTTTCCTTTCCTCTCTCTTCACGATTTAGAATGTTTCCTCAGATTAACACATATGCTAAAAAATGAATCTGAAAAATCTTCTAAGGTCTAGAAATTACGAAAAAAGAATTTTAGAGTAGATTTAGCTAAGGAACACCATATTTAAATCATAATGCAAAAAGAAGTTGATGGACAGCAGCGCTATGCAGCAAAATCGACAACTTCCACATTGCGTCAAAAGACAAAGCTCAATTGCATTCAAATATGCCAACGCCTGCAAAAAGCCATGAGGACGTAGGACTAAAACATAATACTCACTATATGCACATAGTTTATGTAAACTCCAAATTTGCAATACATGACCGACACAACATAAATCACAAATGCTTTGTTCTTATGCAGAGGTAGGTTCTCAGGTTTAGATTCACTGTCTCTTCGCTTTTCATTCTCTTCACAAATCAATCCGTTGAACCAAAAGCTCTCCCCAGGCCTCTTAAATACCACCGACATTGCAATAATGAACAAGGCAATGGCGCTGCACAGCCGCATTCCTCCACTGAAGCCATATTGTTTCAAGACGAAACCAACGACAGGCGCCAGGGCAAAGCCACCAACACTGTTCCCCGATATCACTATACTATGGGCGAGTGGCAATGTCTTCTTGAAATACAATGGCAAAATTAGCAAAGACCCGTAATAACACAAACTCTGACCAAATGCGTAAATAACTCCAAGCGTCAGGTAGATGATGAGGATGTTTGAAGTGAGTGATGACACCAGTAGGGCGACGCCTATCAATATGCCTCCAAGTAGCATTGAAAGGCGAAAGCCTATCCGATCCAAAATAACGACTGCGACAGTTGATAACATGAACAGCAAAGATGCCGGTAATGAACTCGCTAGTGCTTGAATAGAGAAGAGGAAGTTGAATATGAGTGGCATAAATTTTTACAGCTTCTTCAACATTGTTCACAACATACTAATTAAGAGGTCAATAATAATGTAGGCCAAATTATCATAAGCCTAGGCCCTGTACTCCAAGTCCAAACTTCAGCTGGGTAAGCTTAATTTGAATGTTGAAAACTCATTAAGGGGATAAGCAAAGTTTTCAGAAATGTATAATACCAAGATCATACTTATCCTGAAAACCATCCCATTACTCTAAAAGAATAAGCTTTTTAAATAATGGGCTGGTTATCAGGCTATATAATACTCCTTATACGCGGGAAAAAGTAACAAGATCTGGATCCCTATTGTTCTGTTTATTATACTCTGTAAGATTCATGTTTTGCTGAAGGCACCAAGCAAAAGGGGGATGGGGGGCTATACCCCACCAATTTTTGTCAAAAATGCAAAAATTACCAGTGAATTTAGCAGTCAAACCACATTTTATTCGGCTTTAGCCCCCTCCTTCTCCAACTTTTCTCAACGCTTCGCTATGCCTGTGCTGACCTTTCATCTTCCAGTCCGTAAACGAAACATACTGTCATTTGTCAGAATAACCCCAAGGCTTAAAATGAACAGTGGCTTTTCATATTATAATCAGGGGCTTCGCGACCGGTAGTATGGGGATGTTACACCCCAATAGTATCTCAATAGGAAATTTCAGCTTAAATACACTCAGTGCCACTACAGTGATTTAGGTATTTCAGAGATCTTCATATCTTTAAATCAATAAAGGATCAAGAAAAGGTAGTTGCTCCTTTGGTTGAATATGATATTCCTTGACATGAATGAAGGTTTATAAACTAATGATTTGAAGATTTGAAGATTACTTGTTGGCATTAATTCCAAAAATCCAGGCCTTCTTTAGGTAAACCTTTGGCTTTTGTCGAGTTGCACCTAAATTCATCACCGCTCGCATTTCAAAGCCTGGTGTTAGACAAAGTCCCACAATTGAGGGCGTTTTTCAACAAGATGAAATTCAGAAAACTAAAACAGTATTCTCTCCAATTAACGGACACGCTAAAAGGGGGACACCTCTGATAAGCAGACAAATTTTTTTCCCCGATCGTTTTCTGGTCAAAGTCTCATAAAAAACTTTCTAAAAACGGACACTTAATCAGCGGACACTCTAATTAACGGACAATATTTTTTGCACAAATAAGTCAATTTGGCTGTTTTTCTTTCCAATTAGGGGACATTACAAAAAAGTTAGGAGCCAGCAAACAGAAAACTTAGACGAATGAATATTTGTTCAAATATTTGCTTCAAACACTTTCTCTTTTGACAATCTAGATGGCTTTTTACAGCTTCAATCTTCTTTCAGCCCAGTTTACTAAGTTTTCTTACTAACTTTTCTTAAATTACTGGAATCTCCAGACCATAGCCACCTCCACGATTCAACCTCTTTCCAAAACCTTCCTCCTATGGGGGGCTAGATGCTTCCGGCGGAGGGGCTATAGCCCTCCCCTGGTGTCACCACTGATTCCACCTTTTGAATAAAAAACTCGGGTCTATTTTCAAATATGGGACTTACATTGCAAAGCTTTCCAAAAGGTGGACATTTCCAGCGGACACTAAAACAGACCACAGAAAAACACAGTAAGAATATTGCCATACTAGATGGGAAAAGTTTTGGTGGCTTGATCAGCGTTTCCAAAAAACATACTTCCAATTTATCGGACTTTTCTCTCTCTGAAAGCGGAAACTTGTCTTAGGTAATGGTCTTGAATTCTGTATCCCACTTTTTGCTGCATTCGAAATTTTAAACGCTCAACTTTCCAAGCACGATATTTCTGATTGTTTGGAATTTAAGAAATTAAAAGCTCGACTAAGCGATTTGGCTTATGCTTTTAGTGGCTCTCCCATCGACCCACTCGGATTTTCTTTTGCATAAAGAGCATTTTCAAGCTCTAAAATCTCTATGGTCTAACAATGGCATCTTTATTACAAAATCCTATGAAGGGTAAGGGGGGTAATTTTGGACAAAAAGGATAACATCCAAAAAATGGAGAATATTCTCCTTGACAAGCATAAGTTTGAAAAACAGGGTGATGTCGAAACACACAATAAAACGGCCTGGTTAGGGCTGAAACTTCAAGAACATCTTTTAGAGCTTGTCGACTCAAAAATGTTGACTAACAAATTTACGATAAGATGAGACCCACAGGTTCACAATGACCATAATTGTTATGGCCTCCCTAAAATATATATGCCGAATGTCCCACTTAGATCAATCTTGTATCTGATTGGCTCAGCACAACACGAACTGGCTAAGTGGCTTACCGAAGTTTTAGATCCTGTTCTTCAAAAATATTCAAAACATTGCATCAAGGATTCTTTTACTTTGCCGAGTTTATGGAAAACTTTAACATCGAAAACGAAACACCTTTCATGTGTTCTTTCGATATTAGTAGTCTTTTCACTAATTTTCCTTTGAGTGATATATCACTAATGATATATTGCATGCACAGTTTTTCTATTTAGTTGAAGTAAACATGTTTTGCTTGTGTCACATTGTGTCATTTTACCAAAGGCTCTCTTTTACGCTAATTTAAGCAGGTCTAGTATTAACCGGGCAAAAACACATCTATTGATTTAATGAGGAAATGCATTAAAAGTTGAGATTAAGTCATTGGCTGATTTTTCAACAATTTTTACAAATATTTGAAGACATCATCAAAAAAGTAACTTTCGGTAGAAAAATTTTCTGTCCCGTCTAGGATTTGAAATCTTCATAGATGATTTAGTGGGGAAATGCATTAAAAGTTTAGATTAAATAGTGCCTGATTTTTCTAGAAATTTTATAAATATTTGATGACGTCATCAAAAAAGTAACTTCCTGTAAAATTTTCTTGTCCCATTTTGGATTTGAAATCTTCATAGTTGATTTGATGAGGAAATGAATTAAAAGTTTAGATTAAGTCATTGGCTGATTTTTCAACATTTTTTGGAAATATTTGATGACATCATCAAAAAAGTAGCTTTCGGTGAAATTTTTTGGTTCCTGTTGGATTTGAAATCTCCATTATTGATTTAGTGGACGAATGCAATAAAAGTTGAGATTAAGTGATTGGCTGATTTTTCAAGAATTTTAATCAATTTTTTGATGACGCCATCATTAAAATTTACTATGAATTTACAACCAGTGTGATTACTTGCAAAGCCCGATCCTCGTTCCATCTAGAAGGTTTTTTGAATCTATCCACATAAGCATGAAAAACCGCTATTGTGTAGACAGAAGGAGTTCGCTTTCACCTTATGATTAAGACACTATTGACAACATTTCCAATGTGCTTTCATCTGTTTAGTGGTTTCATCTTGTGTCGGAGCGTCTTAATTAATCTTTACGTTAATGCGGTTTGAATAAAATGTTTTTCATCAGTTTTTCAGAGTTTCAACCGTAATGAGAAATTGAGTTGAGTGTGTCAGAAGCAATTAGAGTCCTGACGTTATAAGTATAAGCTTTTAACGTAAAGCAATAGGCAATAAGTATACATTTGGGTTACTACAAATTAGGGTTAACAGAGATTTCAGTAAGATCACGCCAACATTACACCTTGCATACGAAGTCTCTTGAAACTTGTGTGGCTATTTTTATGCAAAGAAAACTCCCGAGGTCTACCCTTTGTTCAGCAGCAGCTATTCGGGGAATAGAGGTTGGTGAAAGACCCCCTAAGTGTTGGCAATCAGTGGGTTCCAGACAAGACTAAAACTGTGATAAGACGGTCGTTTTTACAGCTCTTGGAACAGATGTATGTAGAAGAAAATGTTGTTCTATTGAACAGCGTGAAAAATTTGCCAAAGAGTTAAGACAGATAATTGAATAACCTAGTCCTAACCAATATGTCTAGCTCTCTTTTTGGTCGTCCTGCAACTCTGCGAAAAACATAGATTAGTGGCAGGGAAGGACTCTCGGAAAAGCTACTGTAAAATTCCGAGTACTTTTCCCCCCGACAAGAAGCCCGGGACTTTTAGTTAGAATCTATCATAAAACCACAATTTTATTCTTTCAACACGAATACACATCAACATCATAAAAGGGAGCGTCCTAACTACTTGGTAAATGAAGAAAGTAAGGTTATTCGATAAAGCGAAGGAAACAGATGAAAAATCGGTCCTATTTCACTCCATCTAATTAGAAATTTCGTTTCCTTTATATAGTTTTGAAATTGCTATGAAAACTCTAGATTTCTGGGACTTTTCTCAGTCTCTTTCGAAAGGATCAAGTCTTTGTAGTGAAATTTATCGAAGAAAGCCCCACCTTCCTATACGCTTTTCAAGTCAGTTGAAAAAAGATGTTGCTTACCTATCGAAGCATTGCTCGCGTCAAATTCTTTCTGCATTGATACATAAATGGTCCCAAATGTACGGTGGAAGCCATATCCTAGGAATTGTATTAAAAATGCAAATCCACAAACAAGATAACGGAATTTACTACTTGAACTTTTTTCTTCTTCAACTCTGTTCATCTTTTTGTGAAAATGATTCCAATATGACTTGATCAATACAAAATTCTCCAGGCACCCGATTCAAACAGCACGAACAAAAATTACCATCCAATGAAAGCCAGATCAGTCATGCAATTGTTACTACTGTCTTTGCTCTTATTGGATAAAACGCAACAATACGCTCATTCTGAATCTAAAGCCTCACGCTCCGTGAGCATACTTATCTGGTACCGATTCTCAGTAACTACTGAACAAAGGGCATTTTTGAGAGAAACCTGGACCCATTTGATACGGGGCATTTTGACCATGCTGATTGCGAATCTGGTTGATTCTAAGCGAATTGTCCAATTTCAGTTGCGTATTTAGAATTGCGCTATCTAAAGTCTACAAAATTCTTCAAAGAACGCCCCTGGAACAGCATTTGACTATTCTCTTTTGACAATATGACGTCATTATGGTTTCATAATCGAGAAAATTCACATCATATGTTTAGAATTGGCAATATCTAAGTTTTCCTTCGATCTTTAACTTTGATGTCTCTAAAATTCACCAAAAAGCATCCAAAAGATAGAGTAACAAAATAATTTCAATCCATACTCATTATTGAAATGGCTGATTAATGACCTTTTTAGATATTGTTTCATTGCTTTACTTGAACTTAAATTTATTAATGCAAACACTCTAAAATAACTTCCATCAATAGCTCATGCTGAACCAAGTGATCATGCATGGTTTGATTGGAGATTTGTTGTTTCACATATGAGGTCATAATTTCTTATTACGTCACTTGCTATATGTTTGCATAGTCATCAGAAGAAGTTAATTTGACATCACCATAAAACTTTATTGTAGTGTTAAACAGGACCCTAACATAAATCAGGTTTGAAGGAAAGAAAGCTCTTAATATAAATCAACTTTTGTGAGCATTGATTGATTCTACATAAGGAAGATAAGGTGACTGGAATGACCTTTCCTTACGAGGAAATCAATCGTAGGGACCCACACAGTCAACATTCATTTTATTCAGCTCAATACACAACGATATGTTGCTCTATAGTAAGACATTTGTTCAGAAGAAGCCGCTGTAATTCCTTAGGATATCACTACTGCAAGAGATAGGATAGATCAAGGGTAGATAAAGCAGCCAGCAAGGTTGGCGGTAAGAAACATGATGCAAAAACTGAACTCTTGGGATAGCCTGAAAAACAATCTAGAATAATCACGGCATCGATTAAGAACCAACGATTTTAACATGGTGATTTGAAAGGTCTTGCAAATTCTCTAAATATGTTTTTAAAGAAGACAAAACTAAACACGGTTTAACCCTAAAACCTACAATATAACAGGACCCTACAATATAAATCAAAACCATTACTTCTATCATAAGGCGTATGAAAGCTTCTACTTCTTCTTCGAAAGGGCCTTTCGTCAGTCTCTGAGTAGCAGGGGAGTCTTTTATGATAAATTTATCTGCAAGGGCGATTTTAGCAAATGGAAAAGAGTCCTTAAAGTCATTACTGGAATATTCGTGAAAAGCGGGGAAATTCAACAACAAAGCTTCAATGGCAAGTCATGGAACTTATATCTTTGCAAATATTGTTTACGTATTTTGAAGACGCTACCAAAGGAACCGTCTCTTGGTGGTAACAGAGATGACCCCATATTGTTCCACTTAGAAAAGCAGTTTTCTTATGTCAATAAAACAATACAACCATTCCTTTCACTCAGACAAGGTGTGTTCACGGATGATACAGTTTCCAGTAGTAAATTGACAGATCTTTGGCTGCACAAAAGAAAGAGGGCAATTCAAGTTATAAAGAACGATTGTAAATGGCAAAACAAAACACAAGTAGAAATTGATCAAGCGGAAACAGAAGCGTTCTATCGAAATGAAAATTTTTTCTCTTTTAGAAAATGATTCAAGAAACGAGGAAGAAATATCCCTTGCTGACAACGACGAAAATGATATCGAAGAAGTTAGGGCATTTAATGAAAAAGAAATTGAAAATGTTGTGAAAATATGACCCAATCGAAAATCAGCAAGGCTGGATGGGGTTGTGTATGAGGACATAAAGAGAGAATTTAGTTCAATTAAAACTGACACTGTGGGCATATTTAATACAAGTAAAATAATAGAAAAGTACCCTCTGAATGGAAACATGATATAGTGCAAAGAATTCCGAAAAAGAATTATAGCCGCGAAGACTTAACGACACTACGTAACATATCTTTATCGTCTGTTATTTACAAATTATTTTCGCGTTGCATCATAAACAGAATTCTGCCCTTCATTTAGCCGCAAATTGAATTTTAACAAAGGGCTTTCTTAAAGAAAGAAATAGGCAAGATTTAATATATCAAGCATAAAGAAATTACAACCACATTGCGCGAATACAACATTCCGATTGTATACTGTAAGATTATTGAGCACATATATCATCGTTCCAGCTTTCAAGTTATTTGTGGAAACAATTTGACTCAGAAAATTTACATCACAAGGGGCACGAAAACAGATGACCCATTAAGCGTTATGATTTTTCTAGTGGTAGTAGATAAAGTACTAAAACCAGCATTCAATCGTGCCCTGATTAGTATGAATATAGAAAATGAAAGAAACATAAGGCCAATGCCAATTCAAGCATATGCAGACGACATTGCAATGGTAACATATTATTTAAAACTACTTGAAGAGATGATAATAAAATGTGAACCACTCTTTGATCAAGCTGGTTTGAAAGTAAAGGCATCTAAGTGTGCGTTAATTTATGAGCGAAGGTCGGGTAACAATTGGTAAAAGGGAAAAGGTGACAAAAAGCCAGTCATTAAAGTTCGAGGAGAAACAATAGCAACGTACAAGAGGTCCGAATCGTATAAATATCTTGGCAAATCGTTTACCATAGCAGGCAAAGACGAGAAACAAGTTAAGGATTTCATCAAAGAATTCAAAGATATAATTGGTAAAATCAAGGAATGTACGCTCCCTATTCCTTTAAAACTCAGTGCTTACAATAACATGGCTTTAGCAAAGATTTCACACCACATGGAATACATCCTACCGAGAAAAAGGAAATAAGTATCAACCACTGATAAACTTAATGAATGAAAATGGAATTGCAACAAGAATCAGTGTCATGTGTTTTGGATCACTTGGGACCCTACATAAGGATGTGAGGGGAAACTTGAAAAGGCCAGGACTATCAGGGGAAGAGGCAAAAGAAACAATGAAGTGGTGCAGTGTATCAAACATGATTTGTGGCAGCATCGTATGGCGAAATAGGTGCAAAAAAGTGCATGGACCATTCCGATATTGTTTTAGAGTGTGGTGAGTCGCAAGCTCTCTGTAATTCCAGACGTAGGAATGACGAGGTGTGGTTACATCAAGAGAAAGGATCAGAACACTGCTCGATAAGCATAAGCTTCTCAGTGTCCTAAAAACTACCTTCGGATGCTAGGTAGAAACAAATACAAAAGCAAAATTGGGTTTAATGTAAAATTATGACGCCATGTACAACGGCCTTGGTCAAGATACATTTTGCATCCAGCAACAACGTGCAGAAGTGTTTCTGGAAGAAGACAGAATTTTCAGGAAGATGTTCGACTAAGGTTCCATTTAAGCAGATTTTTACAAGTTGGACGAGTGTTGTTAAGATACTTGATGGTAAAATTAAAGATGTTACTAGGCAGATTGCTCTGTGTACTTAACCAAACACCGTTCAGCTTTTCTAGTGAATTTAGGCCTCCAACACGTAAGAACCTTTCAAGCTAAAATTTAAAGTTAGGTTCTTACCAGCAAAGCTGCTGTAACAGTTTCTAGGTGGGAACAGTTGAATAAAGTATAATAATCTGCTTATATCTAAAATTAACATGGCAAAATAATTCTTCTTTGTAGCCAAAGTACAATTCTGTGTCTTCTATTTCCATCATCCCAATAAAGGTTTTCCACCTACGAACCTTGTCTTCTAAACGACATTCCAGAGGAATTGCTATGAGTTTGTTTGAGTAAAATCATGATTTTGCTACATTAATATAAAAACCTTTATCATAAATCTTGATAGTCTAAATTCACTTTAAGTACCATTCATATAAGAATCTGTTTAGGCTAATTGAAAAAACGGGTTCTTATACGCGGGCTTTTGTTGTACTATACAGTAATATGTTGGTGATGTAATATGTTGATGATGTAATATATTGATGTTTTTATAAGATCTTGAAACATTTGCATAGAAGGCGTGTCAAAAATTGCAAAGACTTTTAGCATACTCAGCTGCTATAGGTCCCCAGCACGTGATACTGATACCAAGACTTTTGACGCTTTTGAGAAGATTCTGATTAAATAAGACCCAGAAGACAGATAGCAAGACAAAAAGGGTGAAATCTTTGTATGACTTGTTTCAATTCAAGCAGCAAAACAGAGAGTGCACTCGTGTGGCTTTTCTTTTAGTGAAGATGGCAAGAAAATTACAACAAAAAGTCTTATTGACAATTTGAACACATGTAAGACTGATCTTATCATTGGAACTAGGAAGGAAGTGACTGATAACAAGGATGACTTTTATAAACAAATAAATGTTACAAGGATGATTTTTTTATTATGCTTTGCCACTGTAGGAGGTGTGAACATATTCTCTCATCTACGTTTTCACCAAGATCTTGTGACACCAGCTGTTATCCACCATCTGTGCACAGGCATAACATTATCAAAGTGGAATGTAAGTTTTCTTAGCATACTAGCTAGCAACAGCTATTTAAATGCTGGCAGGTGAGGTGAGCTTTGAATAAGCGATTGCTGAGGAGGGCAGTGATAATGACGATAAAAGGCAGTGATGATGACGATAAAGGCAGTGATGATGACAATAAAGGGCAGTGATGATGACGATAAAAGGCAGTGATGATGACGATAAAAGGCAGTGATGATGACGATAAAAGGCAGTGATGATGACGATAAAGGGCAGTGATGATGACGATAAGGGGCAGTGATGATGACGATAAAGAGCAGTGATGATGACGATAAAAGGCAGTGATGATGACGATAAAAGGCAGTGATGATGACGATAAAAGGCAGTGATGATGACGATAAAGGGCAATGATGATGACGATAAAGGGCAGTGATGATGACGATAAAGAGCAGTGATGATGACGATAAAAGGCAGTGATGATGACGATAAAAGGCAGTGGTGATGACGATAAAAGGCAGTGATGATGACGATAAAAGGCAGTGGTGATGACGATAAAGGGCAGTGATGATGACGATAAGGGGCAGTGATGATGACGATAAAGGGCAGTGATGATGACGATAAAAGGCAGTGATGATGACGATAAAAGGCAGTGATGATGACGATAAAGGGCAGTGATGATGACGATAAAGGGCAGTGATGATGACGATAAAGGGCAGTGATGATGACGATAAAGGGCAGTGATGATGACGATAAAGGGCAGTGATGATGACGATAAAAGGCAGTGATGATGACGATAAAAGGCAGTGATGATGACGATAAAAGGCAGTGATGATGACGATAAAAGGCAGTGATGATGACGATAAAAGGCAGTGATGATGACGATAAATGATCGACTTTTGACGCAAGGGATAGCTGAGATCTGGCAAGTCAATTGTGGTTTTTTTCTCCTAATGACCAACAATGCAGTGTCAAAAGATAACCAACATCTTGAAACAAATCTTGATGTCAGGCAATCCTGCAATTTTTTATTCCTTCGTCGCATTTAAAAAATTCTAGCATTGAGAGTAAATGGAGTTCAAATTTTTGTGTATCTGCGGAGCAGAGGAAGAACTTATTTTCTGCTCATTTTAATGCGACTTAGACCGGAATAATTTATTTTTGATGAACAAATTGAGCCCTTGACACCAA